GCCTTCATAACTCCGTTTCTCAGTGTATTCGACTCGTTGGTCTGAAGCCAAATGCCCCTTGAAGCCCATCAAGTAGACAACCCGACCAGAGTCCTCCGATAAGGCTGGGATCCCGATGTCACGACCTTAAGAATTTGTCTTCTGCTGGCTACAAAAAATCTACCAATTGATGCCTCATAACGGCTGCATGGTTGGGCCCAATAAAGGTTGGAACCCACTGCATACTCAGGACGTACCATATAACCACGAATATATAACCGATACAATCCAGCGAATACAACTTTAGTATGGAGTCGATGGGCGACTTTTCATACAATGCCACAGAACTCTGCATAGCTGCTAAAGTCCCCTATAATATTCCCTTGTACTACTCAAAGCGTTCTCGCAATAAGAAAAAGTAGACTAATCTCCACTCCGTTGTGTGAAGTTCAGGCATCACTGCAAAAATTGTGTGCAATTTCATGCCGTCTAGGCCCCAAGCATTTGCAGGCTTTGCTAGGATATATTAGCTAAGAAGACAAAATGGTGGGGCCATTGGCTTAGTCACAAGCTCTTTTAGCTCTATAGATTTGGTTTGACCTCTTTTATGTATTCTCATACCTCATACTAAGCTCTATCATTGCTGTAATGTGTTCATCCAGCATCGGACCTTTCACTTGGTATATTGCTCGACGCCCATGACGACCACAATGCTGGCGAAACGTCAAGAGCGTATTCATTCGATGGTTAGATGCTGTAACTTGGCATGACAACAATGGCAGAAGCAGCAGTACGAGGCACGTTCTTCGAAGTCTTCTTGAGAAGACGAGTTGATTGCAAAACAAGGTCAAATCGGTTCTCACTGTTAGTAGGTTTCGAGGTTGTACGTAATTTTTGAATAAAAAATTACTCAAAATAGGCAACTTAGATGATGTAGGGACTGATAGCCCTGAAAACTACTTATATAAAAATTAACTAGCATCGTCGATTGCGATGGCAACGAATGTTTGCTTGATCGACAATCCCACTATAAATGTGAGTTGTGAGTTGTGAGATGTTTGGCTTGCCTTGAATGTCTCTTATGCTCGGTGGGTCACTGACACTCATGGCT